ACTCAAACGCCGAGAGTCAATGAGGGCAGTGCTCGGGCTTTCTATAGCCACAATACCTCGTGCGTGAACTAAACTCGGAATCTGATATGGACTGATCTGGTCGAGAGAGGCTGTATTGGGATGTATTATTATGGGGCTATACAATGTCCTGGCACAGCAATTCACGGCAATGAGCAACACACCAGCGACAGGAGTTCACTGCCAACTATCGAATAGCATGCCCATAAAGGAAATTAACAAGCTACACGGACATCTAAATCATTTCTGACACGCAAGCATAGTAAGCAGTCAGTAGCCACCTATTGAAAAGGTGTAATCGAGGATAGGCGGGAGCGGTAGAAGACGGGATGATGGATGTGATAGAAAGCAACCCGTCTCCTTGTATGCGAAAGGGAAAACGAATGGCGTATAGGTTATACAGTATGTTATGTTCTTTCGATTTCGGAGATACTGTAGCTAAGGTACGCTATCTGTCAGCCACTTTGACAATATAGTAATATAATAGAACGTACCATTGATGAATTAGCCAGATCCCAGACATGCGAAAGACTGATGACAGCCAGAGGTGAGATGTCCCATAGATATTCTGCGTCGTGGCTGGCCTATGGTGCAAAGTGTATGAAACACCAGCGTAGGCGGTTGGTTTAGTAAGATATAGAGCATCGACCTTTAATTGTATTGGATAGACGGCGGCAAGGGTTGAGTAAGGATGATGGCAGGTGGAAGGGAATCGGTAGGTGCGGGATCTTTGGGGACAGCGTGTATCACATCGATAGAAACGAAGAACCTATCATCAAGATCTTCCGGTGCTTTTCCTCGCAGGGGAAGGTTACGGAGTGTTCTGATTACACTGAGCATTATCCATCAACACGAGAACGGGAGGTCACGTATCAGAGCCAATTTAGAGATGCTGAAAAAAACTTCCGGACGTACATTCTGGATTGGAGAGTTCGAACGCGAGACGAGCGGCAGATGTTCGCACATTTCTGTACACCAAGGATTAGTGGGGTTTGGGCGTACATAGGAACAGCTACGCACAGCTTTTTTAACTCTTCTCCTCTGATTGCGGTTCAAGAAGATTGTCCCATATCAGTCGCGCCTTCATCAGATGACCGCCCTCGATTAGACGCCGCGTATGTCATGAAAGTGCTGTATTTTGCTGTCGTGATCACCCGCTGAGTTGGACCCTAGCCAGTGGATACATTGTTTCTCTATTCGAAGCAATCCCCACTCTAAACACAACGAATGCTATGTAGTTACGAAGACAGACATATTCCTGTAACCAGACTTCCGTCATCTCTGGATTCATATCCCCAAACATCAGGGAGATCCATCCGTTGCCAGTTTAGCGTAAGGCCGGGGAAGCGATTGCACGATTCAACACATACCTGTCACCAAGATATCCCTCTCCGCATTTCAGACTCCCTTCTTGCAGCGAAGTATGATCATCAAGTATCAATTCATATCCCTTTCCTGATGACAACGAGGCAGATATCTTGTGTGAAGAAGGGAGATCTATGTGTTATCGGGTTAGCATCAGCACCCGGACAAAAACCTGTACGAACCTTCAACATAAGATTAATCCCATTTTTTTCCTTCCTTTCCTCAAAGGGCGCAGTATGTTCATCCTCGTCCCAACCCTCGACCGTACCGAGAGCGCCTTCCTTCGTTGTACGAGCGAGAGACGGTGACGTTTTCGTTATCCTCTTGGGTTCCTTCATACCCTATGCGTCTTCCGAACCCATACGTCAAACGGAAACAGGAGATGGGTGTATCGGGTATCGGGGTGAGGGATAGGCATGGGTTAGAGGCGTTGTGAGAGGACGAGCAATATGATCGGAAAACTCGATGCGGAGAGAGGGCGCCTAGTATGAGCGTTGTCGGATATGATGCTTCAAACTCCGCGGGACGCAGAGAAGGAATATCGGAGTAATCCGAAGGTAGACTGCGATAACAAAGGTACCGAGGGGATGTGGGCGGCACAGCATCCCAGTGAGGGAACGAAAAACGGAAGGCGACAGCAGAGTTAGAGGAAAGGTATCTTTTTGGGGGCGTGTTGCAGGAAGAAGGGGAATCCACGGGAAACCGACTAGAGAGTAATGTGAATCTCGTCAAAGGCGGATGCAGAAGTCGTATATCAAAGGATACAGGGTGCGATATGTGGGGTAATATCGAGGCTTCCTGGCAGATGTTTGTTTGGGTAGGCGGTGGAAGGGGAGGATTAGACGGCATCATTGTGTTTAACGCTTCTTCTGCGGACTTGGAGAGTGGATGGTGTCCTCAAAACCTGGAAGAAAGGTTGGTCCCAGTATCACAATGGTAGACAGGAACAGAGAACGTACCGCAAGCACGATGTAGCCTTTCGTTCTCGCAGATTCGGCACTGGTATCCGTGGAAAGAATAGAGTCGCTGATCGATACCAGCATGTCGTAGGGGTCCAAGATGCAAGTTCGCGTGGTAGATGGATGCGTTGGGACGTTGTACACGCTGTTCTGAGCGCGTCGGCTGTGGACGTGTTTCTTCTAACGCCGTTGAGTCAGAGAAAGCCTTGCCCGTCGTTGATCGAGTTCAAGGTGTCGCATAAAGGCCGATTTGAGCTCAGGAGAGGAGGTTGAAATCCTTGGGAGTAATATCTTCTTTGCAATGGAATGGTACAAGTCGAGCATGGCCTGTTGGGTTAATATGAAGAAAAGCACAAAGGGGAGGATCGTGAGACGCACCAGTGTGTCGATAATGTCTTCACCGTAGGAATGCTCATATCTGAACAATACCCATCTCAGTCAATGCTTTTCCTGTCGGACCATCAGATAAGAACAGAAGATTGAAGACAGAAGATGTACCGTTAATATCGACGACCCATCTTCTATCCCTGCAATAGCTTATCCTAGGTGGGATTCCAAGTGTTTAATGAGCAAACTTTTGGAGAATCGGCATTGTGATGGAGCAGTGAGTGCAGCGACATCGTCGTTGAGGAAAGAGAAAAGATTAGCCACGTGGCAACCGGCTTCGCGTGACATCACATTAGGCGCCCAACTCTTGATTCTGGTCACGACGATCTTTCTTCGTCTCCCCACTGACACTACGACCTCAACGAATAACAGCTAATTTTATATTGCATATCCTGCTGTCGAGACGCTAATGCGTGGGACTTGGATCTAACATTCAACACTTTTGGCGCACTATGTGATTGCTGCGTGGCGCTTTTTTCTCTCGTTTTTTCCTTCGACGACGATACTTATGCTCCCTTATGGTCTGGTAAATCTTCGAGCTTCAAAGAGTCATGGGCTCCTTGTGGTGTCTTTCACCAATGCGGCGCCTATGAAGCGATTTCTGTGTCAACAAGAACATTTCCATCACATGTTTAACGATTTGGGTTTCGATAGCAGTTGTACCTAGACCGATGCGGTCAACAACTCAATGCGCAAATGGAAAACAACAATAAACCCACATCGTCCCCGTCCCTCTCAAATTATACCTCTCAAATCTCACAGGTAGCGGTGAACACGCGAATCTCGGACGACACGTGTTTCCTGTTACAGTCTCGACTTCACGACACATTCCGTCCTAGACGACCCCTGTCGAGTAGAGCGTATGCAGCACCCCAACCTTGGCTATCCACACAGTGACGTGCATTGACGGCGGATACCAAGAGGTAGAGACCGACGGTGAAGGACGATAGTTTGAGTTACTTGACTCTGGGTGATGGAGAATGGTTGATTCTGGAGCTACATTATGGTATTTGTATCCCCCGAGCAGGGTAGGAATCAGCAATTTGAGCGCTGGATAAAAAGCTAGGGTAAAGAAGTGCGGGATGAGCGCTGATTTTGAGCTCGCATTCCAATCTTGGCTAGTTGTTCGAGGTGGATTCTGTATCAAAGCGTCCAGCCGCGAGAGACCCTTCACTTCAGAGTCAATGGATGGATGCACTAAGGGTTCCCTGAATGGGCTTGATGAAGGATTCAACGAGAATGACAGCGAACAGACCCGGTGTATTCCTTGGCTAGGTGCCAGTCGAAACCGGAAACTGGTAACAATACTGTGTTTTGAGATTAGTACCAAGAAGCTGCGTGCGACTCAGGTACATAGGTTTCGTGAAACATGAAATGATATCAAGTTAAAAGACCTCAATACGCGCCAATCACAACTTGGGATGATGAGTTTCATGATCAGATCCCAAAGTTGCCAAAAGCGCGCTTTGTCGATGCACCGGACCAGTGGCTTGTGTGAATCTGCTCATTGACCTCTAAAGCCGATGTATTGGCAAGAATCTATCGAGTAGTATCTGAGTAGAAGGTACGTGCACGGAACGGGCATACGAGTAACGAATTAAAGAATGAAACGTACCTCCAGATCACAACTAGCTGTTCAGCTGTTGTATACAGGCGAAGAGCATAGGTGTACGCAAACAGTTGGGTCTAGATTGAAGGCCTGCATTAGCTCACTCTCTAGTCAGGACTCCCACCCAGCGCCAGATGATACCTACCTGTTGATCGCTCCGTTTGGGCAGCGCGATTTGCAAATTCAAAGACGTCAACGGGGAAAACCCCAAGAGCCGGACCTGCAGATATTCGATACGTACGAATAAAGATCAGCAAAAGCCTTTGTCAATCTCGGGCTGGGAATCGACCCACTTCATACAAATACTGTGATAATTTCGCGCGTACTGAATGGTGTACTGCCAGCGATCTGCGTGCATAGTAATTGAATATCAAATATCGTACTCCGAGCTAAAAGTATGAGACTTACCCGCAAACTGCAGTGGTTCGTAAACCGAATGAAATCTAGGGTATGTGGTAGATTCACGCGCAGCACGTTGAAAGCTGTAGGGTGCAACTGATGTGACACCTCAAAGTCAGAACAACATGTACATCTACCTGGACAACATCCGCCACCAAGAATACGGAACTGAAAGGGAAAACAGCGACTAGTAGAGTAGTAAATAGAAACACGGTACCTTGTAGAAAATAAGAACCAGGAAAAACACAACGTTCTTCCATTATCTCCCCGGCTGGGAGTCGAACTCAGCTTCCGCGCGGAGGCCGTTACAGGCGCGGGTAATAACCGACATACTATCGGGGAACTAGAGGAACATTCAGTAACATTTATTGCAGGGTTAATGTAGGCGGATAGTTTTGGTAAAGAGAAAAGCTTTGAGCAACCTTGGAACAACTTACATCAAGAAAGAAAAACACCAGGCGAACATGGTGGTGCGAAGCAGAGCTCCGAACGCCCAGAAAGACAGGAAAGCATGTTGACTCGGACCTAGAAAGCCGAATGACATCACAGCCCTAACCCTAGCCATATTTTCGTTTCGCGTCGACGGATACGCTTTCCCCTTCCTGCACTACGCCTGCCGCTTTCCTCGCCACCACGTACGCGCAACGCCATATATTAGTCGTTCTCAACGACACGTACGACACAACACAAGACAGAATCAACTTTTCGACTCTTTGGAGCAATAGACGGTAGACGGTAGAACTATGTGGATGATACGTCTCATTTTCCTTCATTCTCTCCTTCCCCTACCCTGCTGAAGGCTTGGAATCCCACAGACAGAAGTCGAAGCCCAAGCGGCCATTCAAAGCGCGTCCACCATTTGGCCTTCTTTTTTTTTACCTTGCTCCAGTGACTCTACCCAGCACCCTTCACCCAACAATTCTAACCCACCAAACGAAGCAAAGGCATCAGAAGAACGCCCCTATCACTACAGTCCGGAACCCGAACGAGATGCATCTGGACAAACTGTAGGATGACGAAGCGAGGGCTAGGACCAAAATCAAACCCTCATTCTCGGTCATTCGGAGCCATAGACCATCAACCGGTGTGGATGGTACGCTTCTTCTACCTCCATACTCTCCTGCTAACACCATTGAACATTGTAGACAGGAGACGAAGTACAAGCGCGCGTACCCGATTTGGCCGTCGATTTCCCCTTCTTCCATCGCCTTGTAGTAGGGGCTACCGGCATAGTCCGAGCCGGTCTAGCGGTCACGTGAGCTCTATCTATGTAGTCATTCCTGTCGTAGCTACCTTTCCCAATCGCATCCACCGCGTTAGCAGCAGCTAGGGCTTCCTCAGCCCCTCCTGGCCCACTCCAGCCTCTACCCCAGAAACCCTTCCATCGACAACTCTACCTCCGCAGACGAGGAAAGCATCACAAAGATGGTGATACGGCTACAAGAACTCCTAGCTTTTACGCCCCTTCCCATCTAACGCCAAGGGTTGGTATTTCGCTCTTTGGAGGAATGTGAGGGGGTTGAAGGGGTGTAGGAGCACGACCAGGGCGATGAGTCGGAGGAGATAAAGGAAGGAGAAGGTAAAGAACTAGAAGGAGTGTTAGCTGAACCACCAGACGGATCCTTCCTCCTCACCATCCACAGCGCCGAGGAAGCCTACTCGACACGAATACCCCCAGCTCTTCTCGTCCTTCCCTTCCTCGCACGGCCCGATATCAACACACACATGCGCATCCCAACTCCTGAACTGTTGAACGCGACCGCCGACACTCCCTGTCCTCTCCACGCCATGTCCAGCGGATATTCATATAAGTGAGCGATGACTAGGTCACATCCAGCGCCTACTCTCGCTACGGAAGTCGAAGGTGTACATGGTTTGGACATGGAGATGGAGGAAGAAAGAGCGGGCTAGTCGAAGAAGCATGTGCGGATCTAACGAGCGAGATTGACGCCTTGGACAAGATCCTTGCTTGTCCTTCTCCTTCCCCATCAACTTTGGCTTCCTCTATTTACAGCCGACGCACATCTTCGCGGCATGATCAGCTGAGGACAGAACACAGTACTATGATCACCGGAATCCGACGCTCTACCGCTGAGCTGTTGACAGCATTAAGTAGAACGGACTGTTGTATTATGCCTTCATAATGATATCATGACATTATATTCGCAGTGTAATATACACAAGGACTATCTGGCTTTAAGGGTAGATCGTGGACTGACATTCCAACAAGGATAGCTGGTTCCCCGCAACTCGGTAGAAGCGGGGAAAAGACGGCGAGAAGGCTGACATGAGGCGAGAACGCAAACATTACGTCAAGTACGAGGGGAATGAGGCTGATGTGATTGAGACGAAGGGAGCTCTCGTGGATAGTGATAGCTTGTGAGCCTCACTCGCTCCGTGCTCAGCACTTCCAATGGTCCCAGCGATTGATAGATCGTTGGCTGACCACAGGTACCGCACCGACAACACATAATGACGGGAACGAGAACAAGTAGGTAGAGGTGGTGAGTCGGAAGTGGCAGAAAGCACTGGGCGCAGGGTAAGCTGTAGTTGCGAATATTCAGCACAAACACAACGTAAGTACGACAACCATAAGCACGTACCTTCCACTGCCTAAAGCTAGACAATCCTACAAATCCTCCCTGGCTTCCCTTCCCCATCCTACTCCAGCCAAATGAACAACTCTGACCTCGCATTTTGCGAAGGAAAGGATGTACCTCGTCATCAGCCTTTCTACCAATCCTTTACACCTCCACCTCCAACAAATACACCCATTCGACACGGACAGGAAGACGGAGGCTGAAGGAATGTTCGAGCCGTTCGTAGGCTCCAGGTGGTGTGCGGAGGTAGTGAAGGAACGAAGTACTATCGCCCCCCAAAATGGGCTCAGGGGAAAGGAGGCACGGAGCGAAGTGTAGAATCGGAATCGGAACCGTAACCGATGTAGAGGCTTCGGTGTGGACGTTGAAAAGAAGAAAGATGGATAGGCTTGTTTCGGTGGATAGATACCCCGAGGATTGGTACCAGCCTGTAACCCCGATTACAACCTGGGCTAGGCAGACAGGTAGGTACGACAGGGGGAAGAATTCAAGGTTGAAGTAGATGCAAGGGGAAGGCTGGAGGCCGAACGCTGCGTGTAAGAGCTCCGCGGGGCAAGGATCGACACCATGCTATACACCCCCGTCTACTCGTGTTCCTCGGTGCGTGAAAGCTCACATCCTGGCAAGAAAACGGGAAGGTAAAGTGGGCGTTCCCATATGGGTGGATGGAAGGTAATGTGAGGCACAGGTGGGAGTAGTGGAGAGTGGAGAGGAGGTGTGTATCGTCACGCTCAGAGTGGTTTGTATGGCAGAAGATGGGTGCTAGCGAAGAGATGGGGACATGGCGCTGGCGGCGGGGGTAGATACTATCGAGGGAGTAGGAAAGAGGCAGGGTGAGGTAACATTGGTTGGAAGGGCAACGGAAGTCATGGACTGTGTCGTGGCCACCAGAGCCCTTAGCCAGGTGTCATCTGCATGCGGAAAAGGTGGACGCAACTTTGAAGGAGACAGTGGAGGACAGGGAGAAGGAATGAAGGCGGAGGTTGTCGTACAAACACAGATGTTTGGGTTCACAGGATGACATAATCTGGCCGAATATATCAGGGCGAAGGTCTGGAGAGGTCGGAGCGGGAGAGTACCAGCGACTTGACATCTCCTGGTGTGCGTTGGGATGTGCAATGGTCGCGTCATCCAGGTGCGTACTATTTGAACAGGAGTGTATGGTCACTACCACCGTACGCCTGCGTTCCTTCCCTGGATTGTAGCCTTATAGACGACCGACAAGCCTCGAAGTGACACCTAAAGGGAAAGGCAGTAGACGAGGAGGTGGAAAAAGGACGTAGGCGTCTCATAACGGTGTCCACAGAAGGTGCTTCTACCGGATGTGAGATGTCGTAAGTGACGATTGGTTGGTAGTCGGCAGGGCGAAAAGCTCGATGGTGGAGGTGGATGGTAGCAAAGGAAGGTGCGGAGTGGCGTTGAGATCGATGTCCGAGGATATGGTTGTGTGTGTTGGGATATACATCCAGGGTGGTTGCAAGGCGAGCGAAAGTGGAGAAGACACTGGCAGGCGTTGAGTGGGTTGAAGGGGAGCATTATGATGCTCGGGAACCCCGCGTCTCCACGGCAGTTGCATCGTCAAAGAATCGTGACAGGGTGTAAGATGGGCAATATGAAGATTCCGATCTCGATGCCGACGGTGTGTATCCGCCGGTGTACATTGTGTTGATAGAGGTGCGAAAAAGATACCTGGCGGCTCATTAGCTTCAGCAAGAAAGGAAAAAGGGAGCAAGACGTACCATCAACATTGTGATTGCTCCGACTGTGTAATTGGGCATTCGCCCAGATGAATACCAGGAGCACGGCCTACTCATCGTTGGGAAAACATCGAGATCTTCCAAAAACATTGTCTCGCTGAGGCTATATACCTATACCTAACCCGTTTGTCTTTCAGGACACGCGCTACGAGGGAGAGGAGGACGTACCAGCGGTTCCATTTCATCTCCAGCTGTCTCTCCATGCTCATAGAGCCTATTCAATGGCATGGCCTGCTTTAAATTGTCCTACCCTTCCTTTCTGGCACTGACCATCAGATACGGTAGAAAAAACTAGAGCGAAAAAAAAAGTACCATTCAATATCGATAATAGTTTTCTGCCCCGTTCTTGAGTCAATGGGTTTGAGAGTACCACAAGTGCATAATCGAATATCCGTTGAAAGAGTTTCTGAGTAGCTTTTGTCGTCGTTAGAAGGTAGCAGATGCAGCGACATCGTCGTTGAGGAAAGAGAGGTAGATTCACCACGTGGCATTCAGACCAGGCCATCACCTGATGTCAATTAAGCGCCTACTGCTTGATCAGTACCACGATGCAGCTCTACAATTCCGAGATTGTTGGTGACTCCCCGGTATGTAAGACTATCGTATCTATGACACTCGAAAGGTCTTTGACTAGGCCTGGCAGTAAATTGGTCATTGGTGAACACTTTATGCGTTGCTGCTTCAACCATTTATTCTCGGTACACGGCATTCAATTACTCACCGCTCAGACATCTTCGGTCTCTCATGGAATCACAACGCAATCAGTACAGTGCTCGTCATCACCTCGCGTCAGTTGTAGCTCCTTGTTCTTCCGGACCCTGGCAAGTTTTTGTTCATCTCCCGCTTTGATGGCATACAGGTAAGCATGAGTTACTTGTGCCTAATCCAGAACAGTCACATTCATCCTTTCAGCATCCTCCAAGGCCTTTCTGTGTAAAGGGGCTTATATCGACCGAGATACCACCTCGAATTCTGAGAGATTGGT